CGCCGGAGATGAGGCCTCGGAATGAAGGCAGGGAGCAAACCCAAAGGTGCTCACCTGCCCAATGGGATTAACCCCAGCATGTGCATGTACCAGGTAAGCAGCGTGCGGCCGGCTTCTCCCCTGGGATGCAGCGTGGCAGGGGCTATTCCAGGTGCCTTTTTCTCCTCCTCCTACCTCTCTGAGAGCTGATATTCCCCTCCTGAAATCCTCTTTGCCCTGGTGTTTATTGTAACGAGTCTGACTCCATTGGGAAAGGCCAGTCCAGGCTGATGGACTGCCTGAAGAAACCTTGCCTTTGGGACAGGCTGGGCGGGCAGACTCCTCCATGTCCCTCCCGTGAGGCCGATAACCCTTCCCAGTGTCTAAAAACCCCAAGCCCTGGCTGTGCCAAGGATGAATTGTGTGGGGAGGTTGGTGGCCAGGGGACATGGCAGTCTGCGTCCTTCTAGGGGACTCGGGCAGACAGATGTGGCTGCCTCTGTGTGGGATCCAGAGCTCCAGCTGGGCATATTCCAAAGGCTGGGAATGCTCCAGGGCCTGCTCTTCTCCAGCACAACGTACTGGTCCAAGATTGCGATGACAGGTTCCCTCTTGGTTCGTGAAGGCAGTTTCTTCTCCCCAGGCTGGAACAGAGAGGAGACATATGTGTCTGGAGTAGACCCATGGATGGGACAGGCAGGGATTCTCCAACCTGCAAATCCTGGCTCCCCATACCCATGGGGGTCCAGGTGCCCCATAGCTGAACTGCTTCCCCCCCCCGTTATCTGTGGGTGCAGCCCTCAGCCCCCAAAAGGCAGAACTGCAGGGTGATTTCCCTTAAGCTGCCTTAATGCTTCTTACATGATTTATTTATTCATGTGGGAGCGCAGAATGCGACTTAATCGGGCTGAAAGCTCTTGGCTCCAATCCCTCTTGCCCTCCCTGCTGCCCGGGGGTGCACGGTTGGGCACTGGTGCTGAGGACCAAGGTCTGGCCGGGATGTGGGTGCTCTCAGCAGCTCTCCAGGGCCCTGGACATGGTTGCTTGGCTCAACTCAGCTCCCTGCTTTTCTGTTTGTAAAAGTGACCTGAAAGATGCAATGCACCGGACTCCAGAGATGTCCAGATGGATTCCCAGTGCAGGGTCCCATGTGGGATTGTGATTCTCCCCCAGTGACTGGAGGCTCAGCAAGACTCCCTGTCCTCAGCAGCATGACAGGGAGAAGAGGCTCCCAAATTTCACAGAGGCTGCTGGAAGCAATGTCCTTGGAAACCTGCTGCAAGTCTTTCATGCTCCTCTCTGCTGTGCCCTCCGGGCTGCCCGGCAAGCAGAGCGCTGCTCTTTTGGGATGGACAGACCTGCTAAGGAGGTCCCTGGGTGCTGATGAGCCCACCTCCATCCCTGGCATCCTTGTGTCCTGATATCAAATGATCCCCCCCAATTCCTCCCGTTTAACTCATGAAGGTACCCAGTGCACCGGTTTACAAAGAGCAACGTGAAAATCCAACCCCAAAGGCTCCAACTGGGAGGAATAGTAGAAGGTTTTTAAGCATCTTGAGGTTTTGGGGGAGAAGGGAGAGATCTGGCATCTTTGAACCCTTACGGCTGGCTCTTCTCCTATGGGATGAAGCTGCTGAGACTTGGATTCCTGCTCGTTCAGCTGTCTGCGTGTTCCTCTCTGAGCAAAACTGCGTGGAAATACAGGAGTCAGGACTGGGCACCAGGAGCAGGGGACGCTTCTGCCCCGCGGATGGTTCCTGCTGGCTTGTGGAACGTGGCAGGAAGGGCCAGGATGCACCCACTGTGCGGCCCAGCCTCGACCACAGGTGGTAGTTGAAGCCTTGGGTTTGCCTGGCAGGATTTAATCTTCGTAATCCAAGGCCACACGTTGCTGGGGTTGTGTTTATCCCCCAGACAGTGATTTAGAGCTTTCTCGTAATTCTGCTGCATCCGCTCAGGTGGATGGGGTTCCATCCCTTGATCAGCAAGTAAGTGCTGCTGACTTCCCAACACAGGCAACCTTCCCACATCATCCTCCCTTGGCAGACAGCCTCTCAGGAGCAATTATTCCAATTAAGAGCCTTAAAATGCCGTTAATCATGCAGCTGGAGCCGGTCTCTTCCCGTGGCTCCGATGTGTTGCAGCAGCCACCGTGCTTCTGACCCAAACTGGGCAGTTTTGCTTGCTTTTGATTTGTGTAGGTCATAGTTCTGTAAGTCCCACGTATCTCTGAGATCCCGGGTTGGTGACTCCCAGGAGAATGGTTGTTCTTTGAGTTGTCTTTAAACTGTCTTCTGCCAGTACCAAGAAACTGAGCTTCATAAATCTCTCCTGGGCTCCCCAGCCGTCTCCTTGTAGCTGTTTTCTGGCCTCCCTCCAGCTCTTCCCCAATGTCAACAAGAGCAGGGCCATGATGTGCATCCCCAATGTCAACAAGAGCAGGGCCATGATGTGCATCCTTCCCTTTCCCTGTCACCGGTGCCCCTCCAGCAGCACCTATGGCTGAAGTGGTGACCCCAAATCCAAGACGTGACCAACGTTGACCAAACAGCGGACCAGCCCTGAGGCACTGTACATCATTGCTGTGTCTTGTGCAGTGCTCTGCATATTTCACACAGAAAATAGCATCCACTCCCTCGAATCCCTGCTTCTGCAGGGCCTGGAGCTGAGCCTGGCTGCTCATACTCACCTGTCTTTGGATAGTTTGATTTTAATCCAACTTGGCCATCTCCCAGGTTGCTGGACTTCCCACAGGGCTCCTGAGGACTGTGCAGGCTTCCCAGCACTGTGTCTAATCACCGACGTTCATTTTGATTGAAGATCAGGCACCTCTGCTTCACTTTCTAATCCATTTATAGGTGTCCCTGCTTAGTTTGAGAGCTTATCGGAGCTGGGTGCCAGCAGCGGGCACCTCTGCTTGTCCTGGAATGCTCCTCGCCAAGGCAAGGAGAGAAGAAAATCCCGCAGATCCTTTTCATGGCCACTTTGCTGAGGCTTAGGGCAACTTTGTGCCTGTGGATCAGGATAAAAGCTGCAGTCGATGGTGCTGCCCGAGTGCCTTGGCCTGGACACCGAGGGAATGTCCATAGGTAGGAGTCAGGGATGGCTTGTCCTCATGGTCCCCAAGCTCACGTGGTGCCCCTGGCATGGCAGCAAGGTCACTTGTGCCAGGTTTGACATCTGGGACAGCTGGGACTAGCAGAGGTAGCTACGGGCAGCTGATGGAGTGATATATTTCTTTTTACACCCTGAGGGCATCAAAATGCACCCATATGTACTCAGCTAACCCTTAGTGCGTCCTGCTGTCACATCTCACTGCTGCTAATTGCACTGGCAAAGTCTCCTTTGCCTGGGATTTCCCCAAGGAATGACGGTTTCTGCCTCCTTTTTTTTTTTTTTTTTCCCCGATATGGGATGCTCCAAGCCTGGCAGCCTGGATGTGCTGCAGATCCAGGGATCCGGCCAGCTCTTCCTGGCCTGGGCTGGGTAATACAAACCCAAGTACCTGCTGCTCCTTCAGGTCCTGTTACCTCCTCCGGGCCATGGAGGACATGGGTTAACCCAGGAATATTCAGTGCTGCCTCTGCACCCTGTGGCTGCTCAGAGCCATGGCTCTAAGCTGGGGAACACCTGGGGTATGGGCAAACCCTGCCGAGATGACAGCAGTGCTTGAAGCGTCTCTCCCAATGGCAGGAGTAAATAACCAGTATGGAGAAGGGATGGGAGAGGGCCTGTCCTCACGGGATGGAAGTGGGGCAGGATCTTCATGTTCTGCCCCAGGCTGCACCTATGTCTGAAGCTGTTGCCACTCTTTACCCTGCTCAGCCATTGACTTTGCTGGGCTGGATGAGGGGGTTGCACATCTCTCTCCAGCAGATTTTCACTCTCTTTTAATCTCCTTGCGTTTTGGGATGACAACCTGATAGTGTCGTGATCTGTGTGGTCCCTCCTGCCCCAGAGCGCCGTGCAAGCGGTGTGGGTGAGCATGGGCAATCAGCAGTCCTGCCATGGCATCCCCCTTCCCTTGCTGCCTCCAGCACCTTGTCCCGTCCCGCTCGGTGCGGGCAGCATCGCTCGCTGCCTCGTTGTACCCTGCATTTGCAGAGCACTGGGTATCCCTGGCCCCACTGGGCTTCCTGCCCACACACACCTGCAGGTTTTCAGGGGGCATCAGCAGGGAGAGCATCTACTTCTGCAACCCCTGTTACAGCTCGGGCTGCTCAGCAACTGACCCTGAGGACTGTGCAGCTGCAAGGATCCTTTTACTAAGCTCCATAAGGATCTACCCGAGTGTATTGAGGGACTCAGGGAGCCAGGTCCCGGTATCCGAACCTGCGGTCGATGTTCACTGCTCTTCCTGCAGCTCTTGCACGCCTTCCCCTCCGCGGCTTTCCAAGCCCTGCGTAATCCGCGTGGACGCTCACAAGCTGCTTGCTCTTACGCACAGCCCTTGCATAACACAGGGACGCGCGGGGGCACGTGGGGGCCGCTGGCCTCTGCCAAGCCCTAATCCCCCGGGAAACCCGGCCCAGGGAAAGTCTCGGCCCAGTCCAGTGACCTCGGGTGGGATGGCCCATGGGCAGGCGTGGGGTGGGCACTGTGCAGGGCCAATTCAGCTCGCTGAGATCATTTTGGGGGATAATGGATGGAGACTGGGCTGGAGAAGTCTCCAAGGAAGCAAGAGGTCAGGAGCAGGGCTGGGAACCTGGCAGGTCAAATCCTGGGATTTCAGCATCACTCTGGCAAATGGATTAAAAAGCTCTTCATTTCTTGGTGAGACATCGGCTGTTGCAAGAGGTCTGGCCTTAAGATGGTCAGTGTTTAATTCAACTTCAGCCTGAATGTTTTGAGATCTGGGGATGTTAACACAAAAATTAGAGTGAAAGAGAATTTCATGCTGTAAAACTGCTCTCAGTCCCTCATGAAAATTTGGTCCGTCGTTAATGCTCAAACAAATCTCATCTTCTGCAAACTCTTTTCCTTCTTAGCTCTTCTCAGCAATGGTGTGAAACCAGTGTAAATTTATGAAGCGTTTCAGTGGTGCCTATTTGCATTTTACACCCCAAAATGCTCCACCTGCAAAGTGTTGCTTAGCCCTGGCATGAACCGGTGCTTAAACCAGCAAGGGAGCCTTGCGAGCAGTGGGAGGATGCTCCTGGGCTAACCTGGACACATGATTTTCATTTCTAAAGAGAAAATTAACCCTCCTGCACTGTGAAAAAATCATAGCACGTTTTCTATCCCCTCCAGCACGGTCACAAATGCAATTGCTCTATTTCTAAGGAACCAGACGTGTCCCAAAATCTGTACTGGGAGGCTTATGGCACTGCTTTGTGCCCAGCAATTCCTTGCTGGCCGTGGCCAGTGGCCAGAAGAACCTGTGTCTGGAGAAAGGAGTGCTGGGGTCTGCAGGGGTACCTCTTCCACTGTGACATGTCATAGATGGCTCTTAGCATTTCCAATGCAGTGAAATTTTGGGTAAAGCCAGACCATGACCCCATGGGCAGAGTCATCCCAGGGCCAGTGAACTCCATCTGGACTGGCTATGACTTTGCAGCATGTTTGAACCTGCTGGGACACTCCAAGGCTGGGGTGTCGAGGGGGCAGTGAGGATGGGAGCATGGTGATGGCCTTGGCTGGGGTGCTTCAAGTACCATCAAGCACCACTGGAGCGGCGGAGAAGCTTCTGGTGTCATGATTAATCAAACCAAGTTGATAAACACCAAAGCGCTGTGTTCTCCCCTTAAAGTTCTTGCAGAGGCGAGAATAAATCACCTCTCAGCCTGGTCGTGCTTCTCCTTTGGTTTCTCGCCATCCTCTTCCCTCATTGTCCGGGTGCCGGATGGGAGCCGCTCTGTGCCGGGGTTCCCGCTCGCGGGGCTCCGGCTCCGGCGCGTGCTCCCTGCTCACACCCTGCCCCGGTTTCCGCAGGAGTTTGCAACGCTGACGCGGGAGCTCAGCGCGTGCCGGGAGCAGCTCTTGGAGAGGGAAGAGGAGATCTCAGAGCTGAAAGCCGAGCGCAATAACACGCGGGTGAGTGTAAAACCCTCATGTTCAGGTCTTGGCTCCCAGAAACACTGGGTGCTGCAAACTCCTGGCTTGGTATTCACATGGCTGGGTGGTAAGAGCCTTGTGTTCACTCTCTTGCAGCTCCTGCTTGAGCACCTGGAGTGCCTGGTGTCAAGGCATGAGCGGTCCCTGAGGATGACAGTAGTCAAACGCCAGGCCCAGTCGCCATCCGGAGTCTCCAGCGAGGTCGAGGTGCTCAAAGCACTTAAGTCTCTGTTTGAGCATCACAAAGCACTCGACGAAAAGGTGAGATGGGACTTGTGCATCCTGGCCGCCTTGAGCATCCTAGGAGCAACCATCGAGCCTTCCTGACCCAACTTCCCTGCTTCTTCCCAGATTTTTATCCATCAGTTCTCCAGATGGGGTCAGTGTAGCAGTTCTCAGTGCCACCGCTGTCTTTGCACGTGCACAGGGACGTTGGATTGAGCAGAGCTGTGTGCACTCAACTTCCATGTGTCCCCAGCTCCAGAGCATCCCCTGTGCAGCTCCGTCACCACAACGTATCTCCCACAGGGCAGTTTGTGCTCAAATACGGTGACTCAGACCTGAGCTGTGCTTGCAGAGCAGTGCTAGCAGGACAGCTGAGCGGATGCTGCAGGATTTGAGCTGGAGGGAGGTTGCTGGGGATGAGGATCTTGCTTCCCTGGCTCGCTGGCCTAGAGGAAGCGCATTTGAGACCCTGCTGTGGTCTTTGCATTAGGACCCACAGCTGCTTCTCCTGATTCATTTGCCTTGAGCATCTCCCTGCTCTGCTAAAAAACATCTTCAAGGTTCGTCAGCTTTGAGTCTCCCTCAGGAGTCACTTTTTATCCAAGGCCCTTCTCCAACATGCAATCACTCCCTCAGGTTGGAGCATCTCTTCCCTTGAGTTGTTGAGCCTGTTCCCTGGATGTGACCCACCTGAGCCTGGCAGACAGCTGGATATGGGGGGCCAGGAGGTGGCTTGTTTCCTGGACATCTTTGCTACAGCTAAGTAACATCTTTTACCCTGATCTTGCACAACCACAGGTCCGAGAGCGTTTGCGAGCAGCCTTAGAGCGAGTTGCAACATTAGAGGAGCAACTGGTGGATGCCCATAGGCAGGTAAGGAAGAGGGACATTTGGCATCCTGTGCTGGGGCACTGGGTGGGCAGGGACTGCTTGGTGTGTGTTACACCAAATTTGGGAGTTCATGCTGAATTTGCATTTGCAGCCCCCAAAATGATCATGCAAATTGGAAAAATGGCTTTCACTGCTTTTATTGTAATGAGTTTTATTCCTATTAAGGCTGGTGCATGCTTAATACTTGCAAAGAAAGCAATAGTTCCCTGAAACCTTTTGTCTCACAGATGAAGTTTTCCTCTCTTGTTTTGCCATTTGACTTTTCATTTCAGTGACAAAAGCAACCTGAAACTGAATCACTTCGGCTAGCTGACAATGACTTTGCTCAATGGGACAAAACCCCAAGCTCTTGGCTCCAAGCACCCTGTCTCACATCCCACATCTTCTTCCTTGCACAGACCTGTCCCCCTCCAATATTTAGCCTGTTCATTTTGGAGCCCAGCCACTGCTGCCAGAAAGAGCCAACCTGACCTATTAAGGCCCCTGTCTGGCAAAATTTTGCTGCTAGTTCCTGTTGCCAGGACATATCTCACAATACTTTTCTGGGCTTGGTGGGGAAGTAGCACGTGGCTTTCGGATGCCTTGCAAAAAACTTTTTTGCCATCCTCTTCCTGCTCCTGCTGCATATGTTTGCATCAGATCTGGAGCCTGTTTGGCTGCCAAAACTAGTAATTTTGCTCGTATTTGAAGTGCTTCCCAGGATGCAGGGCTCAGCTTACTTGGAAAAAACAGCTCGGGCTCTTTTCATGGCTGTAGCAAACAGCACTTTGTCTGTACAAGACGCAGCTTCAACCCACATTAGTGCTATGCCTTCATTTCATCCCCTCGTTCCCCATGTAGGATCTCTGCCTCGCTTTCTTCAGCCTTTCCTTCCAGTTCCCCCTGAGAAATGGGTACTGGTTGAATATGACTGCTCTTAAAGGTGGAGGAAGCTGGCAGGAAGGTGGTCACAGTTGAGAGGTCAGGATGCCCAATCTGTGTCTCACAGACGTGTGGGACATCCTGAGCAGCATCTGAGCAACTTCTCCCCTTGGGTGGCCAGGGGACTCCTCTGCAGCATCTCCAGCCCTGTGCAAGGGCCTGTCGCCTTCTCTGTCCTCCTGCACAAGGACCTGTGTGCAGCAAAGCTGGTGTCACTAACCAGTTCTATGATTAATGAACCCCTGTTGTCTTGCAGGTGGCCACTCTGCAGCAAGGCTCTGTACGGGATGCCCCAGCAGGAGAGCGGGATGACAGGGAGCCCAAGGAGCCGATGCAGAAGTTTCCCTGGAAGGTGAGAGCCCAGAAAACACCATCTCTGACTATTCCACCTCTGACCAGCCACAGTTTCTCTGATCCCCTTGTTGCTGCCTGCAGGGTGCTGAATCACCCCTGGACATTTGAAAACCTCTTTCCTCTCCCTATTGGGTCTAATCCCCTGGGAAATGTTCCTCCCTGCTAGGAGGATACAGGCCAAGCAGGCCATTTGCCGGTGCAGGGGAATCTGTGTTCCTGTTTGGACACTTGTTGGCACTCTGATTCCCAGGGATACTCGCACATCCAAGGGTTCAGCCCTCAACATGCCCGTCCCCATTAAGCCTGTGAGAAGCAATGTCTCCGGCTAATGGACACTGTTTGCAGCTCCCTGAGCCCCACTTCCCAGTGCTCCCTTGCATCTCCCCATCACACCAAGTCCCTCTCGGGCCATATTCTTCTGCTGAGTAGATGCCGTCAATGCCAGTTTGTGCTTTGGGACAGCCAAGCCTGCCTCTCTGCTGCCTTGCAGACATGCCTCTCTGCTGGCTTGCAGACATGCCTCTCTGCTGGCCGGCTCTCCAACGGCTCCGTCCACGCCGACGATGAGGCAGGGCGGGTGGTGGAGCTGCAGGAGCTCCTGGAGAAGCAGAACTTTGAAGTGGTCCAGGCCAAGGAGCGAATCTCTGCTTTGGCTGCCAGCATCGCCGAGCTGGAGGAGGATCTGGGCACTGCCAGGAAAGATCTGATCAAGTCGGAGGAGATGGGCAGCAAGTACCAGAGAGATCTCCGAGAGGTGAGACACTGTCATACTGAAAACCCTATCCTGGGCCCCACTGAAGCTTCAGGGATGCAGTTGCTCCACACTCTGGGCTGGGGAGGGGATTGTAACTCCTAGTGTACATGCAGAAAGGAGGGTGAAGACCAGCAATTCCCACAACAGACCACTGCCTTTTGGGGAATTTTGAGGCAGTCCATCAGCAGGACCTCCCTGAGGCTGTGAGCAGGTGCTGAGGAACTCAGGGATGCTGCAGACTCAGAGCAGTGAGCCATGTCCATACTAGCTACCTCACTTTTCTGTTAATCCTCTCCCATACTGCTGTCCTTCATCCCTGTACAAGGCAGGGTGTTTGTTGTGCACTTGGACTTGGAAGGTATCCCAGTCTTACAGGAGAGATGTGGCTGGTTGTTCCAAAATTGTAGATTACAGGTCAGGACCACTAATGGGAAAGGACCAGGACTTGCCACTGTAGTTCTCCACTGGTACAGGACATGACTGCCCCATTGCTCCCTTAGGCTCTGGCTCAGAAAGAGGACATGGAGGAGAGGATCACCACACTGGAGAAACGCTACCTGGCAGCTCAGCGAGAAGCCACCTCCATCCACGACCTCAATGACAAGCTGGAAAGCGAGCTGGCCAACAAGGAGTCCCTGCACCGCCAGGTACCAGTGCTGATGTGGATGGGGTGGTACAACACCGTCCTTACGAGAGGCTAGGCCAACCTTGCACATCCTACCTGGGTGCATCACCATCCTCCCAACACCTTAAAACACCCCAATTGCAGGCCTGGGCTGTGCCAGATGATGCCAAACCCAGTGGTACCATACGTAGGAAGCATGCGCAGACAACATCTTGGGGGAGATTTGGAAAGGGATTGAAATGGAAAGCATCAGACCCTCCTGGCCAGTCACGGGTCAACCACAGTGGTGGGAGCAGGATGTATTTCCCCCATCACCCTTTTCCCCGACCTGGGACAAGTCTCTCCCAGTTGGGACCAGCTCAGAACTGGCTCCCACCGCCCCAGGCACTTGGGAGGGAGAAGTATGCCCTGCAGACAGGTTACAGGCAAGCCTTGGTGCCAGGCATCTTCTTGTGCTCCGTTTGGCAGTGTGAGGAGAAAGCCCGACACCTGCAAGAGCTGCTGGAGCTGGCGGAGCAGAAGCTGCAGCAGACGATGAGAAAAGCAGAGACGCTGCCCGAGGTGGAAGCAGAGCTGGCCCAGCGCATCGCGGCGCTCACCAAGGCAAGTGTGTGGGGTGCTCAGGCACAGCCTGACCAGGACACCATGCGGGGACCGGAGGAAGAGATAGGTCTGGCCACCTGTGTGCAGTGATGGAGCCCCAGGTTTGGTGGCCCACTGCTCCTCAGTGCTCTGGCGAGCCCCCATACCATCCTGTCAAGTGCAAGGCTCCCTGTCCTCATGCCAGCTCTGGGGGGTCTCCTGTCTGTGATCCCCTTGCCACTAGCATGGCTATTGTGGGGCTGTCAGCAAAGCAAAGCGTGGTGGGGATGCAGGCAGTGGGAGGGAGAGCTGCATCCTGGGGAGGGATGCCACAGGGTAGGAGGGACCAAAAAATTTTGGGAAGCACCATCCAAGAGGGCTGCTCTGCTTCTCCCAGGCAGAAGAGAGGCACGGGAGCATCGAGGAGCACCTCCGGCAGCTGGAGAGCCAGCTGGAGGAGAAGAATCAGGAGCTGGCCAGGGTAAGTGCTGCTCTGTCCAGATGGGGGGGCCTTGTGGGGCCTGGTCCAGCTTCGGTTCCCTCTCGCTTTGGCCTGGGCGCAGCGCAACGGGCTGGCTCAGCTGATATCCCCAATGCAGGATGAGGAGAAAGGCCTGCTTGGTCCTTTGCCCATGGCAGGAGGAGCAGGGCTGGGCTGCAGCTGCACCTCAAGGAAAGGATGGCGGCTTTGGAGGAGAAGGTAGTGGCTGCAGCACTGGGCTCCTCCGGGGCTCCGGGGAGGGTGAGGGCTCTGCATCCCCTTGGGCGCAGAGCCTCGGCCAGCTGCAGAGTGGAGGTTTGGAAGTGTCCATGCAGGGATGGAGAATGATCGCATGCAGGATGCCAGGCGGGCACCGAGGCCGGTGGGAATGCCGGGAAGCGCATTCTGCACTGCGCCCTCGCCAGCCCTCCCCCTGCAAGACCCGCTCCCCGCCGCCTTTCATCTCCGGCAGCGGCATTCCCTCGCTTCCCTGTGCCTTCCGCTGCGCATCCTTGCCCACCGCCTGTGCCCAGCTGGCACCAAAACAAACCCTCATTGCATTTTGCAGGAGACAATGCAGTGTTCGCCCTCTCCCAGCTCCTGTCCCCCAGGCCCTGCTGCTCTGGATGGATCTTCCTTTTCCAAGCTGGAGCAGAGTCCGTGAGCAGCCTCCCACCTCCCATCCCTTTGGCCTTTCCTTTGCAGGAGGCAGCTGGGGCTGCTGCTGCCCCAGAGTGATGTCAAGGACCTTGGGAGAGCAGGTGCCTCAGAGCAAGGGGTGTCCTTGCTCACAGAGAGGAGCTCAGCCCTTGATAATTAACCTCAATTTGGGTTCCTGCAGGAACCCCTCATTAACCAAAGCACACAGGGGATGTATCCTCAAGCTGCTGCATCTAGGACCATGTCTGTCTCCAAGCTGCTCTGCATTAATGTCCCCAAGCAGAGCTGCCTGCACTGGCGTGTCCGGCCGCTCGGCTGATGTCTGAGCAGCTGTGGGTCAAGAACAGGACCCAGCATGTGGGGCTGAGTCCAAGTTCCTATTCCTGGTGGAGCACAGAGACCGGAGTGGTGGCACATTGCAAAGGGGCATCACCAGCACCCCAGCCTGCTGCTTGGCCCTAGCTCACCCACAGAGCTTTTCTGAGTCTTTCTAAGTCAAAAACAAAGCTGAAATGCCTGCCCAGCTGCCAGCACTTCCCCTAAAGAGCACAAGGTTAAAGAGTTACCACCTCATCTGCTTTTCCTCCTGCCTTTTCAACTAGCTTAGATGCAGGGCACTCCTTTGCCCTTGACCCAGCTGCTCGAGGAGTTGATCCCCTCTCACCTACATTTCCTAATCTGCAAACGCTGCTGATCAAATCTCTAATCTGTGAGACAGGAGGCAGCCCTGCTTGAGGAGCAGGAGGTTTGCAGAGAAGAGTGGTTTGCAGGCGGTAGGTGAGGAAAAGGCAGCGGGGCTGAGGACCTGCTGCCATCCCTGTTGCCACTGCCCTGTCTGGGTGGCGATTCCATGCTGGCCATCCCTGGGAGGCCATGGGGCCAGGGCCACTTCCTAAATGGTCTCTCTTTCTCTTTCCTGTTTTTGTTCCCTTTTCTTTTGTGTTGGTTTTTAAAGAACACTTTGTTACAAGAGCTGGAAAATACCCAAAAGCAGATAGAGGAGCACCAGCACGACAAGGTAAATGCTGCTGCAGGGAGCCTGCCCTAGTGACTGCGCTTCCTCGCTCCTAATCCCTGGCTAGTGACAATTGTGCCTCCTAAAAACACCCTAGTTTCGGAGGAACTGGGATCCCAAAGAACCCAGCAGCAGGAGGCCACAAACTAACCCATGCAGTGGCTGGATGGAAGCTGCCACCCGCCTTCCCGGAGACCCCCGATTCGGTTCCCTAACAGGCACGTTCAGTCCTGTCTTTGTATTTCTATCACACTCATCCATCCCTGACCCCCACCCAGGACAACAGTGAGGCCGGGATGGCTTTGCCGTCTTTCCAGAGGAGGGTTTTCCAGAGCACTCGGCTGCTCCTTGGTGTGTCCTGGCCGTGAGGGACAGTCCTGCCAAGACAGCCACGAGCCTTGTCCGTGAGGAGGTCCTTTCCTCACCCTCTTGCTCGATGGGGGAAAGATATATTCCATGCCCAGGCTGCAGAAGGCCCCACAGGTCTCTGCACCTCCCTGCTCTCAGATCAGGTGCCCAAGCAGGGTTTGCAAGATGTGTCCTGAGCCCAAAAGCCAGGGGACTGCACCTTTGGAAGCAGGAGTTTTCGGGATGTGCCCCGTGTCTAGTGCATGCCTGGAGGGAATCAATGAGCTGCTTCTCCCCTTGCCCGGGGCCTCTGCTCTCCCAGCTGCTCCCTGTCCGTGGCGAGGAGGTGCATGCACATCTCCAGCTCCCTGGCTCAGCTCTCCAGCTGAAGGCAGAGACACAGTTCGGAGGCTCTGGGATGCTGCCCGCATGTTGCCCAGCCCTGGTTGCCCACTTGCTGTGCCCAGAGGAACCCATGTGCCTGGCCTGCCCGCTCAGCTGCAGCCTCCCTGCTTGCATCTCCCAGAGACCTGGGCTCCCCTGAGTACAGGGCTGGCAACTGGATGAACAGGGCCAGCACTAGCTGTGTCTAGCGGGTCTCTTGCTGTCAGCCGAGACGAACGTGCACGTTCAGCCTGGAGCGAAGCCAGAGCATCCCGGAGTGACCGATTCTCCCTCATCTCCCAAACCAGCCCCGCTTCCAGCACCGTGTGTCTGTGTGTCGGGCCTGTGATCACTCCCTCCCTTCGCAGCATCGCCCTGGCATGGTCATTCACTGTCGCCTGCATGAGCGGTTTCTTTACTGGTGAATCAAAGGTGCTTTGAGCCTGGGAAGGGGATTTTTTTTAAAGAGAAAATAAATATGAACAGAGCTGAGGGCTCTGGACTGCACAACATGCGGCTGCTGCGCAGAGTCAAACCAAACCCTCTCTGTGTCTTGCCTCGTGCCGAACAGCGACGGCTGTCAGACGAGATCGACAAGCTGAGGCTGGAGGTCGATCAGCTCAAGACCAGGAGCGGGACGTTTGTGGACAGCGTGCACACGAGGTAAGGGCCTGGTGGCCACAGCTCGGCCAGCCCCCGGCTCGTGTCCACACAGCCGTCGCTTTGGGGGTGTTTGGCTCTTGGAGCGCAACGCGAGGCCCCAACATGCTGTTGGCATCAGGTTGTCAAGAACAGTGCAGCCAAACCAAATGACCCAAACTTTATTCTTCTGTGGGTAAAAAATACCCACTGGGCGTCATTTTTCTTTCCACGTAAAGTGTATCACCTCTTCCTGGCCCCCTGGGGTGGTTTTACCCAGGCAGTGGGTAGCTCGAAGTGCTGCAGATCGTGTGATGATTTCCTCTTTCTGCTCATTTTTAGTCCTGCAAAAGTCCCTATGAAAGCTGGATGTTCACCCAATATCCTTCCCCTGATGGTGCATTGGGGATTGGTTTGGTGGGAAAACAGGAGGCTCTCATACGTGATGGCACAGGGAGGGCAATGAGACCCCCACGTAGAGCTGAACCTCCCCCTTTTCACCTCCTCTCCACAGTGGCCCTCCCACACCCTTTTATTTAATATTTTGTCTGGGAGATTGAGGAGCCCAGCCCAGAGCAGCGGGAGGCCAGATGAGTCCATCGGGTCTCAGACTCCAGGGCTTCAAAAAAAGCAGGAACAGGCACAGAACATAAGAACAGGAGGGTGCCCGTGTCACAGACTGTGTCCTCTGCTGAGGCCTCACAGCTGGGATTCAAGGCAGCGCCAGGACTGACCACCAGCCACAAAAAATCACCTCTTGGGAAGGAACAAAAAGATGGAAAGAAGCGTCAAAGCTTCAAATGTGTCAGCAGCTGGGGCAGAGAGGAGAGTGACTGGCTGCTCCGTGCATGCCATGGAGAGAAGAAATGGAAAGAACGAAGGAGAGATTGAGGATGAAGGTCAGCCAAGTGCTGGAGAGATGTCTGGGTCATATGTGGGACTTCCTCCTGTAGATTTGTAAGGATAGTACAGGCCATTTCTTTTTTTCCCGCCAGGAATATTCAACAAAAAGCTTGAGTTACAGAGGCTAAAATAATCCCCCAGATGAAATGTCAGCTTTTGTCTAAGGTTCCTTTATCTGTTTTTAGCTCAGAAGCAGCTTGTCAGCGGCTCCACAGCTTAAATCCCCTGGAAAACTTGGGCTGCGCCTCTGTCTGCAATCGCCAAGCTGACGCCAAGCCAAGCTGCTCACGTTAGTGATTTTTTCTGGGCTCAATAGGTTACTGGACCAGGGAGCCCGGTCCTCTTTCTCTCTGGGAACCAGACCCACCATGGTGGAAAAATACTAATCTGCCCTGGAAAGCCTGTTCTCCAGGCTGTTTTCTCCTGTTAAATCAAGCCCCAAATCCTCGCGCTGCTTCTTACCATGCATATAGGGAATAACAATCCCATTTCCTGCAAAATGACTTCACTCACATGCGTGGATGGGTGTCTAAGGCAGGGAAAGGTGAGCAAGATGCTCCCTTTTATTTGCTATGCCATCAATTTAGTGCCAGTGGGATGACACCAGTCATAAAACCCCTCACTAAATAAACAGGTCATCTTCCCTGCATGGAGAGCTGCTGCTGCTGCCTTGGACTTCCTGCAGGCTCAGGCAAATGTCATTGAACTGGCACATCAGCATCACCTGGACAGGCATTTCTACACAATCAGACATGGTGGAGGGATTCTACACAATCAGACATGGTGGAGGGATCCGGTTAGTACCACAAGTGGCAAAAAGTGTCCTCACGTCCAAACGCTGTGTTGCTCTGCCTGGGACGTGAATGCACTCCCAAGCACTGCCCAAGTTTGAAAGAGGAGGATGAAGAATTCCCAGATGCTTTCTGACTGGACACTCCAAGAGATGCTCATCACATACATGCCCCACACCTAGAAAATCTTGTTTCAAGTGAGATTTTATTCATCAGGGACTTCTTGTGTAAATGCTGGAAAAAAAAAAAAAGAAAAAAAAACCTTTTTTTTTTTTAAAAAAAAAAGGGGGGAAGAAGGAAAGCTCCTAAGGGAGGACATCCTGGAATGACGCTCTCTTGTTCCTCTATCCTGGGCAAGTCTGGGTTGCAAGTGGAGCAACCAGCAGGCTGGAGCCAGGAGCATCCTTGCACAGGGCAGTCTCTGCAATGGGCTCTCTTCCCCCAGGTCCCACATGGGCAGCACCACGGAGCTGCGCTTCCCACTGAGCACCGTAGTCCATGGCCCTGCTGAGAGCTTCGGGACAGCCCCAGGTCTTCCTCGGGCACAGAAGGGTCGATTCCCTGCCCGACGAGAGGAGCCAGCCAAGGTAAGTCGTCTTCATCTTGAACTGTCTGGTTCGGAGTCTCCTCTGGCGTGCTTGGCGCTGGTCTCCCAGCTTGGATACTGGCCTCACATGGGGGCATCTTCCCTGAGCTGGGGACATGGGGCCATTTCCTTCACCCGGCTCCTGTGTGGGAGTAGTCTGGCAGGAAAGGTTTTAACTTGGGTCATATTGAGTGTTACTTGACGGCTTCCAATTTGGCCATCGTATACATGTGGTTGCCGTGCGTGAGCAATGAATTTGTTCCAACAGGACTGGGAGCAGGCCCAGGCGGGCAGTGTCCTGGCCACGGGGCCTCATGCATTTGACAGCGACCCCGAGATCTCCGATGTGGACGAGGACGACCGTGAGACACTCTTCAGCTCCATGGATGTGCTCTCTCCCAGCGGGCACTCGGATGCCCAGACATTGGCCATGATGCTCCAGGAGCAGCTGGATGCCATCAATGAGGAGATCAGGTAGTGCTAAAGACAAAAACTGACAAAATCTTCTTCTGAAATGGCTTAATGGGGCCACAAACTGCCAGGCCATGGGAGGAGGATCCAATGTCCTAAGTCTGAGGTCTTGGTCCAGCTTCAGCTAGGGAAATGGCTTCAGAACATCCATCTGCAGGGCCTGGTCCTACCCTCCCAATGACTGCCTATCCCTCAGCTTGCCAGGCTGGCTTGCTGAAAGAATTGCTGTTGAAAAGCAGCCCCTTCCTAAAATTTTAAATGAAATTGAGACCCCTCTGTGCCTTGCTCTCCACGGATCCTGATGGGTCTTGCTGCCATTCCTGGAGACCAGAAGTCATGACACGCAGGGTGCATTTCCCTGCTGCAGGGGAAAAAAAGCCCATGGCTTTTTAGGAGAGGTAAAAAGACCAGGAACTAAAAGGTGGGGAGTCAGGAGCGCTGAGCCCTGCTGCTCCCCTAGGATGATCCAAGAGGAGAAGGAGTCCACTGAGCTTCGTGCCGAGGAGCTGGAGACCCGCGTGACAAGTGGCAGCATGGAGGGCCTGAACCTCACCCAGCTCTGCAAAAGGGCCTCCATCCCCACCTCGCTGACAGCCCTGTCCCTGGCCAGCTCGTCCCCGCCGCTCAGCGGGCGCTCCACTCCCAAGCTGTCCTCCCGCAGCGCTGCTCAGGACCTCGACCGCATGGGGATCATGACGCTGGTGAGGTGGCGCACAGCACCCGTGGGACCCTGGGCCAGGGGACGAAGCTGAGCAGGGTGTGCACGTGTGGCTGCCTGGGGTGGTCGCGATGTCCTGGTGTGCGCACGGATGTGTGGGGGTGTGACATGGAGCGGGGCGCCTGTGTTTGTCTTCTCCCAGCTTGGCTTGCCTGGCCCCAGTGGCACTCGCCGTTCCGGGGCATGGAGGGCTGCTGCGGGAAGTGTTCTCTGTTGACCACCTCCCTTTCTGTGTCTCTCTCACTTTCCCCCTTGCAATCAGCCCAGTGACTTGAGGAAGCATCGGAGGAAACTGCTTGTGAGTCGTTCCCATCCCGTTGGTTTCAGTCCAAGCCCCTTTTCCAGCCTGCTCTTGGCTTTGTCTATGCCAGGTCAGGCTGTACAGACCATCAGGTGCTTGGAGGCATGCCGGCCACATCATTGGAGTCTGAGCCCCGTGTCCTCTGTGTTCCTTGGCTGCTCCTTTCGTCTTTGATCTGCATGGCACTGCCTGTTCTGGCATGGGAGCTGGGACCAGCAGCCTGTGGGTACTGGTGGGACACGGGATGTTTGGAAAGCCAACGAGTCTTCAAACATCATGCACCCTTGCCAGGGACAGGGTGTTCTGGGGACGTTCCCATATGTGCTCCTCAGAGCGCTTTGCTGCAGCTGGCAGTTTCTATCCCTGCATCCTGACCTGGACCACGGGGCTGCATCCTCTCTCCTCCCCATTCCCAGGATCTTGGCCTTTATGACCTCCCCAACTGCCTGGGCAATTCCAGCCATTGCTAGTGCTTGGGTTTAGGCTAATCCTGGCACATGGCGAAGGCTTGGCGTGCTGTTGGCTCTTTTGGCCATGCCTCTATGGAGCAAGAGAGAGGGGGTCAGTCTGGGGCAGCCAGCAGGGCATCCATAGGGCCAGGGATTTTGCCATCAACCCTCACAGCTCCTCTGTCTGTTCAGTCACCTGCAGCTCGGGATGAGAGCCGAGAAGATAAAACCACCATCAAATGTGAGACGTCTCCACCGTCCTCACCCAGGACACTGCGGCTGGAGAAGTTGGGCCACCCTGCACTGAGTCAAGAGGATGGCAAGAGGTACGTGGAGCATCCCTTAGGTCTTGCCCCAACAGTGGCTGCTTCTTCAGCCCCAGGGCTTGGGATGGGGGAGCGTGGGGTTTGCTGTGGCTTGTGTGCTGCTCGGGAATAACCTAAAGGCTTTGCTGTTCCTCTCCCTCCTCCATCCCCAGCTCGCTGGAGGAGCAGGCCAGCAACCCCAGCAGCAACAGCAGCCAGGACTCCCTGCACAAGGGCTCCAAGAGGAAGGGGATCAAATCCTCCATCGGGCGCTTGTTTGGGAAAAAAGAGAAGGGTCGCTTGATTCAGCTGAGCAGAGAAGGGGCCACAGGGCAGGGTCCGTGAGCAGCCCCATTCCCGCGTGCGCTGGGCGGGCGTCCTCCCAGGCCGGGCTTCCTGGCACTGTCTGGCTTTGGGGTGCTCTTGGGGGTGCCAGGCGGAGAAGTAGGGACATCCCATCCAATCTGGGGACATGGGGGCCACAGCTGAGTCGTGCCAGGTGTCTGCGGGCTCTGATTTCTGTACAGCTTCTCTACGGGTCTGGCAACACAGTCCCAGACTGAGGACAGGCATATCTGGGGCTTTTTGCCCCGTGGTCCATGGCATGATCATGAGATCAGTGTTCGTGCAGTAATGCTGCAGTAATGACTCCCCGTCACCATATCTTATTTCTAATGTCCCCAAAGCTACTTCCCTCCCCCTGGAATCTCCCTAATTTTGTACAGCCCTTCAGTGGGCACCATGTTGCGGCACCTAAACCCTTCACAACTTAAGGGTTGAGTGTCTTCAAGGGATGGCAGATGAGGAGCCCCTCCGCACTGCCCAGGGACCTGTTGTCTGTTGAAGTGGCTAGGAAATGGGTGTGGGAGGAGAATCATCACCCACCGTGCCACAACTGGGCACCCCCAATGCCATGGTGTGGGGACCCCAGCAGTGCCCGCGCTGGCCCCAGCATGTCACACAAACCCTGGGGACGTTACGCTGCTCCCGGGGGTGTCACGCTGACTTTGGGCATGTCTCGCTTGCTCAGTAGTGCTGCTGACCGACACAGAGGTGGGCATGCAGGACCCCCTGGGACTCGGCAAGCTGGGGGCTCAGGCCGAGAAGGATCGACGCCTGCGGAAGAAGTGAGTGGCCCTCCTTCCCTGCCCCATCAAGGAAATGTCCCACCTGATGGCTGCTAAGCCATGAGAGCATGGCTGAGCATGAGAATTGCTGAGAAGCCCTAAACAGAGACGTCTTCTCAACTTCACTCTTCCTAGAGCTCTGTTAACTCCACTATTGCTTTGCTGGTGGCTGCTTCGTGCTGCCCGTGGTCTCCTCTCTTTTGAGGTGTCCTTCCCACCTACCTTCATGTCACGGGCCTGATCAGGCCACAGCTGCTCCTTTCCCCACAAGCACCCAGTAAATCACTGCTGTTGTTCCCTCCAGGCACGAACTCTTGGAAGAGGCTCGGAGGAAAGGACTGCCCTTTGCTCACTGGGATGGCCCAACCGTTGTCTCCTGGCTCGAGGTGAGGCAGACCATGGCCGTGATGCGTCTCCATGTACCAGCTGCGTTGCCAGTGGTGGTTGCTGAATATTTCATGCCCAACTTCTCCTTGCAAAGCCCCGAGCCTCTCTAAGAGTGGGTGTTCAGCACAAGTGGCAGCAAGAACCTCTATCTGATTGCAGAGCGATTTGCTCTCCTGGCTGGTTGAGAAGGGATGTGGGACAGGAGCTGTCTAAGAGCCTCTGTGGGGCCAAGTGAGCAGGGTTGCAGGAGCAGAGCAGTTGTCCACATCTCTCTCACAGTCTGCAGAGTTGGGGTTGGGGGTTTCCTTATGCCTGACCCTTACTTTGAGTTGAAAGATGCCCCTTCCCCATGCTGCGTCCAGGGATCCCATGCAGGAATACTGGGCTGCCCCCAGGCCATCTGTGCAAGGTCTAAGAAAACAAAGGAGCCCCATATGGGCATCCCACTTCAGTACCAAGGTTTAAAGAGAACATCCTGAGGGCTGACAGAGGAAGTTAGGATATGCCGCCCAGGCAGTCACTGTTTTTGCCCTGTTCTGGCAGCTCTGGGTGGGGATGCCAGCCTGGTACGTTGCTGCTTGCCGAGCCAACGTGAAGAGCGGGGCCATCATGTCGGCCTTGTCCGACACTGAGATCCAGAGGGAGATTGGCATCAGCAATGCCCTGCATCGCCTGAAGCTGCGCTTGGCCATCCAGGAGATGGTGTCGCTCACGAGCCCGTCGGCGCCACCCACGTCACGGACAGTAAGCGCTCTGCCCCACCAATCCCCATGCCCTCCAAAGAGACCCCAACGGGACAGGACACCATGGCTGGGCCCCACTTCCTCCAGCTGCTTGGGGTCACAGACCCATGGAACCCCAATGTCTCAGGCAAGAGCGAGGAAGGACTCACTGCTGTTTGAAGCAGGTCATCGAGGAGGTGACATCCCCTCCCAGACCAGTCAAGCACCAGACATGTATCCTCAGGTGCAAAGATAATTTACTGCTGTCAAGTGTGAAGTGCTTTCCCATCTTTGAGCACCAGCAAATGCTCTTATCTTCACACCCGGAGGTTGTCAGCAGGAGGCAAACGCTGTCAAGCACCCTACAACGAGCAAAGCTCAGGGACTGCCTGCCCTGGAAAGGACAAAATCAGAGTGAAACAGTTCATGTTAGCCGTATTTGCCAGCTCAGATATTCACACCTGTTTTCTCAATTGTTTCCACATAAACCTTTTCCGGGACCATTTGAAATTCCTCAGTCAGGTCAGGTTAAGTACAGAACCCAGCCTTCCCCTAGACAGGATGTGGACTGGATTGAGGGACTGAGTCCTGAGCTAGGAGGATGCAGCAAGACCCCAGCAAGGGCAATGCATAGAGCGAGGACAGCCTGAACCCCACTGTCCCTCCCTAGCAGTCCCTCTCTGGGCTTCCCTGCCTCAACTACCCAGCAGGAGACCCTACAACGTCTCAAGCCAGGCTTATTTCCAGCTAGGTCTCCCCTGGTCCATTCCCTTCCTTCGGTCCCAGAATCATCCTGTTAAACCAAAGCTCTGCACCTGGTAACCCTGATCACTCTGCCTTTCCCCTTTAGTCCTCCGGAAATGTCTGGGTCACCCATGAAGAGATGGAGAATATGGCAACTTCCACAAAGACGGTGAGCCCGGCCAGCCCTGCTGTCGCCACGCGCTGTATCAGTTACCACGCCGAGCTCCGGGCATGCATTAATGCACTAAACCCCGAGAGGGAAGGGGTCTTATGCTGCATCTCATGTGTCAGCTCTTGACCACTACCGTGCACCTGTTTAGAAACCATCTTTCAGCCTTTAAAATTTCAGCAGTTTTAAAAGCTCTCTAAAAAAAAATCAGATGTGTTGTCAAGAGTCGGTGGCTTTTTCTGGGTTTCCAGAATAGCTTGCCTGTCCATTGTGACTTAGAGAAAAAAGAGAAGGGAAGTTAAAAAAAACAGGAGCGGCCTCAGATAGAAGCACAAGGAGCCACATGTTTGTCATCCTGCACCCAGAGGAGTTATTGGCTAATCTGCCATGGACCTTTGTGGGCCCAAATATATTCTGCACGTGAGCAGGAGATTTGTTACCCCAGCTGATAATGTGGGGTCCCTTGGAGAGACATATCCATGCTCCTGTGGGTCCTTTGGAGAGAGGTGGCTGTGTTCCCGATGCCTCAAGATCCCTTAGATAGATGTGGCCATGCTCTTCGCTCTCCAGCTTAACAACCCTGTTTCCATGTCTCAGAGCAGGGGCATCCTTTTGGATTAACTGTGGGAATTATTAGGCATCTTGTGCCCACTGGCCAAGAAGCCCAGAGCCTCTAACTGGTGTTTAGGGATGGAGAGTTCAAAGTTACAGCAGGGATGCAGCACGTATCATGTTGTGCAAGGTCGAACGAAACCAGCACTGGCTGACAATGGGAAAAAAAAAAAAGAAAAAGCAAATTGGCAAATTGGGCTGGCAAATTGGGTTGGCCGGTGTCCCCTTGGGGTGGTGACTTGTGGGTTGTGACCCACAAGGCAGTGTGGCCGCTGGGTGTTTCACTGCATCCATCTGTCTTTAGGGGGGGCCTGTGTTTGCCAGGAGGAGTGTGTGAGCCCCAGCGTCTGTGCCATCTCCGGGCTCGAGGCCACACGGTGCAATGCAGCTTTGAAGACAGGGATGCCCGTGAAAATGCCCAGAGCAGCCCAAGCTGCGTCCCCATCCCCTCCGGGGCCGCGACGAGGGGTCCCGCGGCCGGCACGTGCAGCGTGTGCTCTCGCAGTGCGGAACTGCTGGAATCACTGACTTTACCTGTCCTTTCTATTGACATGCTGCGTGTGTCGCTTAGGACACGGAGGAAGGCAGCTGGGCGCAGGTGAGGTCCCTATGTCACCCTATTCTGCGTGTGGTACGTGGCGGGTTATGAGAGAGCGAGAGGCTGATTTCTGGTTGCACAAACATTTATACTTCACTTTTTTCTGGCTTCAAGTGCAGGATAGGGAACATTTCCGTGAGCTGAGAAGGTGGGAGGAAAAAGTCCTGTTTGGATCCATCACTCCTGGTTCCAATCAGTCCTGAATGTTTCATTTTTCTTCTGTCAGGTTTTATTTCCCTTTGTGCACCCCAAATCAACTCGAAGTGAAAACAAATGGATGTTTTGCTACCCAAAAGTGACCTGTGTTTTCATTTTGAAGGAGTAAAATTAAATGTTTCGGTGATTTCTGAAGCTTTTTGAACAGAAGCAATCTTAAATGTGCTGAAATCCATTTTTAATTTATTTTAAAATAGACTGATGATAAATTTCAGCTATTCCTTGTGTTTCCATTTTGCCTGCTACCCTGTTTTCTCAGGATATATCAGTAGGATACAGGACCATTCCCTCCAGTGCCATGAATACAGAGTAGGGTTAAACCCTAACCCAGGTTTGATACTCAAGGCAGTTTCCTCAGGGTGCAGCATTGAACTGATTCCGCTCTCCTGGGGTTATCTGCAACTCTCTTGAGTCCTAGTTTCTCCCTAGTTTCTCCTTTTACTTTTGCAGACGCTGGCTTATGGGGACATGAACCATGAATGGATTGGGAATGAGTGGCTGCCCAGTCTGGGCCTCCCGCAGTATCGCAGCTATTTCATGGAATGTCTTGTTGATGCTCGGATGCTGGACCACCTCACCAAGAAAGACCTCAGAGTGCACCTGAAGATGGTGGACAGCTTCCACCGGTGAGCCCCATCCTCCAGGAGGTCCCCAGGGTGCAGTGGCTGTGCATGGAGCAGAGAACAGGGGGTTAAGGGCTTCTCCCCGGTCTCGGGCAGCTGTCAGCACTCAGCCTGGATCAAGATTCATTGCAGGAGGAATTATGAGCATCAGCTCTTGCATCTCTCTGGCATGCAAGGCGTGCATGGAGAGCACATCTTGGCATGGCCATTGAAAAAGGAAATCAGCATCCTGACCTTGTTGTGGGGTACCCATGGGCTGGTTTCCCCATCACTGCTTGTGTCCACATGCTCTCAGGTGGATAGGGCTGGCTGAAGCTGGTGGAGTGGGGAATTACCTTGAAAAGGAAAAACAATTCCCTGGTTTCTGGTTAAGATCTCTGCTTTGGGTTGTGTATGCACTTACCCAACCCTGCCCTGAAGCATCCTTCAGGGTACGTGGGGAGAAAGTGGGGGCCTCCATGGGGTCCTTCCTCATGATGCTGCTCCCTCCTGAGGGTTGCCTGACATTCCATGTCCTTGCAGCACCAGCCTGCAGTATGGCATCATGTGCCTGAAGAGGCTCAACTATGACCGCAAAGAGCTCGAGAGGAGGCGAGAAGAGACCCAGCATGAAATCAAAGGTCAGCAGCCACATACAAGGTCCGGCTCTGGAACAGGAGAGGAAAAACATCCCAAGAGATGCCCAGGGGTGCTCTCTCTCCTCTCCCTTATTTTTAGCACTGTGCTCATTGGGGACAGGGGGGTCAATGCTTCCAAGGAATACCATACTTGCAGGTCTGTTCTCCATGAGGAACCTCCCTGCAGTACTTCCCCCTCAGAATCTGCTCCTGCTGCATTTAGACAGTTCACCCTAAGGCATTTTACCCCAGTCAGACATGAGGAGAGAGGAAAGGTGTCAAGACACAAAGACCTAGTTCAAGTACTGTATCAGCTTCTGCAACCCAATTCAGATGCTCAGGGCATCCCCGAGTTGCTGAGCATCCCCTTCTTCGATGGCTATCCTGGGATTCCCTGCACATCTGGCTGCTGCGTAGATTATGTGTCATTACTGATAATGCCCTTAATTACAGCAGCAGCCTGGGTTCTTAGGATTAATTTGCACAGTTGCTTTCTGCCTGTAATTTCTGCATTTAGTTTGGTAAATAGAAGGGAGCCATTCCTGATGCTTGGGCACTCCATGTTGCTGCTGGCCAGGGAAGGAGATGATCCCCAGCACTGCTCTGGGAAAGATCCCTTCATTTGGTCCCAGAATCAGCCTGAGGTTGTGTGGCAGGACTCTGGGACATCATTAGGTCCCTGCAAAACCAGGAGTGTGATCTGAGCTGGCCAGGACCTCTGAGACAAGCCTTCCCTCTTCTGCAGATGTGTTGGTGTGGACCAATGACCAGGTCATTCACTGGATCCAGTCCATCGGGCTCCGCGAGTATGGGAACAACCTCACTGAGAGCGGGGTGCACGGGGCACTCTTGGCCCTCGATGAAAACTTTGACCATAATAGCCTGGCACTGGTGTTGCAGATACCCACGCAGAACACCCAGGTATGGGGAGCATCCTTAGGGTCTCCTGGGGACCCCAGCTCACCATGTCCCCTCCTCTAGCCCTGGGCTGAGGTGGGCACTGCATGGACATGGCTGTATTGCATCTCCACCAGTCCCACCAGTTGTGCTGAGACCTGTTTCCATCACTCATTTGATGCTACTTGCAGGCTCGACAGGTGCTGGAGAGGGAATTCAACAACCTGCTCGCCTTGGGCACTGATCGGAGGCTGGATGATGTGAGTACCCAGTCTCTTCCATGCCCAGGTCTTGATGGGCACTTGTTCTTGAGGAAAAAAAGAAAAAAAAAGGCAGCAGGAGTCTGGCAGGGACAAGGTGACTGACCAGTGCTGTAATATTTGGGGTTTTTTTCACCTTTTGTGCAAGAACGGCAGTCAAAACATTCTAACTCTTGTAGTCACACCTGGTGGCGTGGGCTAGGAAGAACGATGCTGATTTATTGGCCATTTTCTGCATCAAGAAAATGCTTACAGCAGCCCAGGGCCCCTCTGCATCATCAGTGGCTACAGGCAGGACCTCTGGTGTCTCCCCCATACTCCAAGAAATCCAAGTAGGATGTAACAGATTCTCAAGAGGAGTTGCAGGAACAGTGTCAGAGGAATAAGTTAAAATCAGTAGATGAGGCCCTGAGGAATGAGCTTCGAGGCAGGAGAGGGAACATCTTTTAAATCTTTTCTAGCCTCGTGCTCAGTGATTTGAATTTCAAGAGGGCACCCATAGCTTTCCTTTCCAGCTGCTTTAATATTGCTTTCTAGAAGCACAGATGTTCTGGTCAAGGCACATTTGTGACCAGAGAAACTGGTGGGTTGGAGGTGCCCTGTTAAGCAGCCAGAAAGCTGCACAGTTGGTTCACATTGAGCCAATGGAGGTGAGAATTCATATAGACCTCTGCTACATATAGGTTTCCTCCATGAGATATGATAGCAGAGCTAGTCTGAGCTCTCTGTATAGCTTGGGGAGAAATATAAACTTGCAGATGCCATTATCTGGCCTAAGTTAATGCTTCCCTTTGGGTGTTTACCAGGGCTTGTGTGTTGATGTCTTGAGGGCATCTTTATGGGCAGCTTGGAGAGGAGCGGTAGGTGAGCCGGAAAGGACCATGCTGTGAGATCTGAGAGATGTCTCCAGTGTCCTCCTCAACTTATTGTGCGCTGGGCACCATACAGTTGGTCTCCATGTGTGAAAAGACCCTCATTTAGGGGAAAACGGTGCTGGTATCTGACAGGGATGGAAAGTCCAGCCACTCCTCGGAAGCGTGGGCTTGTTTGATGCCACGTAACCTGCTTTTCCCTTCCAGAGTGATGACAAGACCTTCCGGCGAACCCCATCCTGGCGGAAGCGCTTCCGTCCCCGGGACGTTCACAGCATCAACATGCTGAGCGGCTCGGCCGAGACGCTGCCCGCTGGCTTCCGCGTCACCAGCCTGGTTCCCTTGCCACCTCCAGCGGCCCCCGCCAAGAAAATGTCCCCAGAAGGTAGGTTGCCCCATTCCTCCTAGCTCCTCTCCCACTGAGGTCCCAAGCCTGGGCCTTGATGCTCCAAGCCCTAAGCTCAGCTCTCCTCCTGACTTCAGGTTTCATTCATTCAATTTTCATGGCTTTTCCTGCAACAATTTGAGTCACACCTCTGCTTAACTCTTTCTACCTCAAACCTGAATGCTGTGATTCCCGTGCAGCTGAGTAACATGAAACTTGGGACAAAATCCCAAGAATTAGCGGCACCCTGATTAAGGATGGCAAGGATCAGTTTTCCAAATATGCTGGAGCCCTGGGGGCATTGGACCTGCTTGATGTGCCTCTTCCTTTGCACTTCATCTTCACATGGCTTCAATACACAGACCCTGCCTAACGGGAGCAGGGAAATCTTGGTGGGAATTTCAGGACAAATTGGAGCAATCACTAATTGCATGCTCTGCTCTTTGACTCACTTCTAGTTGGTGCCTCTGGGTCACCAAGACTGGAGACCTCCACAGTCCGGACATACTCCTGCTGAGGGTCAGCGTGACAGGAGCCAGCCCAGCCCTGGGTAAGTGCCAGGAGGACCTCGGAGCGGGTCTGGGGGTCGAGAGAGGAGGCAAGAAACAGGGGACCAAGAGAGGTTTGCCATGGCAGCAGGGCACAGGACACATTGATGGTGGAGGAACAACCCACTGTTGCATGAGACTCATGGGCACCTCCTGGACCAGGAGGGTTCAGCACCAGCTCTGGCTGGGTTTGTTGGTCCGTGCGTCCCCGGATGGATGGAGGTGACCTGCTGTCCTTAAGGAGCCTTTTCTGCTTTGTTTCTCAGCACATCCGCACTCTCCGTATGGCCACATGCCGACTGCCTTCTGGGGCTAGGCCAGCGGCCGGCCCGTGCCTGTTCCTTGGCCCAAAATGATGGACCCTGCAGCCCCACCACTTTGGGGCCATGTGGACCGAAAAGGTTGCTCTTCCTTCTGCTTGTGCACCCATCTTTCCACCCTGGCTCCCCGTGGCTGCTCCCCACTCCTGTCTGTGGCTTCTCTGCCCACCTTCCCATGCACTGGTCGGGCTACGGACGCGTTTGCTGGGCACCTGCTCCGCTGCTGGCAGAGGCTGCGTGAGCTGCGGAGGTGCCGCAGAAGCGGGATGTGCTGCTTGTAAACCTTTCTCCTGCCTGGTTCAATTTGCCAAGACACCAAGGGCCACTGCAGCGGCTCATGTGACCCCCGGAGTACTCCAAGATGAGGATTTGGGCTCAGCTTGACATGGAAATCCATCAGGGCCACTAGGCAAAGAGTGAGCATCGGGGCTGGTCCGAATGGAGGGGCCAGCACGAGGACGAGGAGCGGGGCCGTGTGCCGGGGGGCAGGCAGCAGCTCCCTGTGCTCCGGAACCGGGTGCTGCTCGGGAGGAGGCTGCACCTGCCCGGTCCATGAAGGGCTGCGTGGGGAAGGGCTGGAACCGCCCCATACGGCTCCCTGCCAGCCGGGACGGTGCTCAGCACCTGTGGGATGGCAACCGCCCCTGGGCACCCAGGGGGGCCCGAGAAACACCCGTCCCTTCCCCTCCAGGTGCAGAGGAGATGCTCTCCCCTCCTGCCTCCGGACTACAGGCAGGAATCAATCCAGGAGGCTTCTTCACTCTTCCCGTTTCTTCCTCGTAGGGTAGGATCTATTCGTCTCCTCATGCCACGTTTGCCTTGTGTGGCCCCTATTTCTGATGTGATATTTATTGATGGCTGGAATGAACCTATACTTATCATGTGCTGTTTGGAAGTGCAATATCTGAGAGGCTATACAGTCACAACGTCTTTTCGGTGTATTATTTGCCTAATACAGTCTTAAATATTTTTTTAATTTGGAGAGTCGGTGACCCCTTTATATTGATGTCCCATTTCTTTCGTCATATTATTGGTACTGCATGGACTCCAAACCCTGAAGCGGGTCAGGAAAGGATGTATGTGTGTTCCAATAAACTGGATTTTAAAGCAGTGCTGGCCTGAGCCTTATTTCTAGGGACCAAAGTGAGAAAATGGAAGGCCTTTTGGAGGAAGGGGTTGTCATTGTCTGCTTGCCTGAGTGCTTTGGAGATACAGGGTTTTCCAATTGGGAAAAGTCTCCAGACTTGGAGCGGGGAGAGACCATCACAACTGGGGGCATCAATGAGAGAGACCTCAAGTGCTAAAAGAGACCCCCCAAGCCTGTTCAAACAAGAATGCCTTTATTTAAAAAAGTCCAAATAAGTTAGCAAAAATATTAATTAGAAAAAAAAAAACAATGGCAACTCCACACAGTGCTCAGTAGAAAAGACGTCTCGGGGCGGCCTCCACGGGGCCTCGGTGCCCACGCGGTGCCAGCTGCAGAAAGACGTTGGTCAACAGAGCGTCTTGGGAAAGAGAAAACGAGAAAGCGACCCCAACACACACAACATTGGCCCCCAAGGAAACGACCGTCCCCGCACGGGGACGAGACACAGACCGCGCTGGCTGTCCCCCCGCCTCGGGACTGCTGCCAGCGCTGCTCAAGTGCCACTTCTCCCCCCCTTTTTTTTTTTAGCCAGCCAAGCAGGAGCATTTTGCAAAGAGTAGGAAAAGAGGCGAGTGGTTTCAGTGGCGCAGTCCACAACACTGGAGAGGTAAATACATTTTCCAGCAGCTGGACCCTACTGCTATCTTATTTCTGTCCTGTTGCCAGCTCAAAGAGCTGCTGGGGGTTTGCGCTGGCTCAATTTTGAACTCGCTCCTCCTGGAACGTCACAGCCACGTCCTCCACGGCGATGCTCTCCACGATGGAGGAGAGCGAGTGGAGGTTTCGGTCCTCCGAAGCATCGTCAGCCAAGAGGTGATCTGCGAGGAGCAAGGGAGAAACATCTCTGCTGGGGTCGGGGGTGGGACAGGGACCCTCTGTGAGGTTTCTGGGGTTTGGGACGGCTCCTGGCTCCATCCTGTGATGTGTCCCGTAGCCAGAGTGACTTGGGGACCCACTCTTGCCTTGCACCCATGGGTTAGGGGCATGAGACTGTTCTTCAGCAAGGGCAATGGGGGGCAAGACCTTGGGAGATTTTTTAGGTTTTATTCTGTGTTGGCAAAACAAGAGACTTAGGAGCAAGTTTCTGCCCCCTGGAGAAAAAAAAAGAAAACAGGTGGAACAGGTGGAATCGGGATGGAAGGGAGGCAACGCAGCATCTCCAGGCACTACAAGAAGCCCAGATGCACTGAGCATGGAGCCAAGAAGGCACTGGAGGATTTACGGGTCTCCAGGGGCTTGTGTCTCCACAGCGCAGCCGTGTGCGGCGGGGAGGGAAGGACAAGGCTCCCTTTGTCCGCCCGGAGCAGCGCTCGGAGCCAGCGTCCCCTGAGCCGTCCTCGGAAGCTCCTACCTGCGGGGTTGCTGCCGAACTCCAGCTGGGCGCTCCACTCGGGGCTGCAGGAGGAGCTGCTGGATCCGCACTCGCCGGGCGCCTGCGGGGAGCCGAGGTGCTGAGCACGGGCATCGCTGCAACCCCCCTGCCGCCCGCTTGTCACCCCCACCGCAGCGCTGTGTCCCAGCAGACAGGGACACGTCCCTTGTCACCCGCCCGGCCAGCCGCTGGGAGGACCAGGTGACACCTTCAGGACCCGGTATGTGCCCAGCACCCTTGTAAAGGGATCTGGGATGGGGTGTCCCCATGCAAACGCGGTCCCTGTGCCCCTGCGGGATCCCTTCCAGCACCACGGTCCAGCACAAGCTGCAGGGACAAGCCCTGGGACCCAGGCTGCCACCCGGGCTTTGCTCTTAGAAAGGGGAATCTTTGGCTTGTTTGACTATCAAAGCAGCAGAGAAAGGTTACAGGGAGGCTAAATGTCTTCACATGGGTGTTCATTGCCCTGCGTTGTCCCTGAAATGCAATTTTGCCTTGCCAGTCATGACAGCAACCCCAAAGCACCAGCTGCCGCATCCACCTGGATGGACCTAGCTCACAGCAAAGGCGAAACCCCCAAATTCGGGGTCCCTGGTGTGTCCTGGCTGCATACACAGAGAGGGAAACAACCTCCGCTCGTCCCAGCCAGGCTCTGGCACTGAATTAAAGGTTTCACAGCAGGTGTGAACATGAGAGGGAGGCCGCAAGGAGGAGCAGCGAGGCAGGAACTTGGTTGCATTTCGGGCCAGCAGTTTGCATTAATTCTTTTGCAGGGATTGCGGAAAAATCCAAGAGAATCAAACCCACGTGAAGAGGTAGCTCAGATGGATCCTGACAACCCCAGGAGCTTTTTACAGTGATGCCTAAGACTCTATTCAGTCCTTTCCACAGCTCCTAAATGTACTGTCCTGGGCTATCCTGATACCTGACGGCTTTTCCCGTAAATCCCCTGTCCTCAGTCAGCTGAAGCACCATGAATTACAGTTTTTCATGCCTCTTATAAAGTCCAATTGTCACCCCAGGGCAGCAGGGGAAAAGCACGCCCACATATCCCCCTCAGGGAGTCAGAGGGCAGGTAGAAACATCCCCTGAAAACCTGGTTAAACCACAAAAGTCTGGTGATTCAAAGAGTTCTGGCAAGACGTAGCCTCAACACGTGTCCCCATCTGGCTCCTTTGATCTGAGAAAAGGGTTTGGCAGCAGGCCCTGCCCCAATCCCTCCATCCTTTTGTCCTCTCTCCGGCCTGGGACATTCTATACCAGCCATCAAGTACATATTATTATTTTATTTTATTTTATTTTATTTTATTTTATTTTATTTTATTTTATTTTATTTTATTTTATTTTATTTTATTTTATTTCTACCTACATCAGCTCCGGCACATGAGGGTGCATGTGCCATGCTCCATGCAGTGTCCATGCCAGCCCGTAGTAGCCTTGGCTCTGCTGCCCCAAGGGTTTGGGGGGTCCAGGACACAGCAGGACTGGGGCTGCTGCCTCCAGGTCCCTGTCCCCGTGCTCCAGGGCTGGTTGGGGCCATTAGGGATCTATCCCCCCGGGTCGGCGGTGGCCAAGGGGATGTTCAGGTACTTACCCCGGCCTGGGAGGCCGTGCCGCGGTAGCGCAGGTCCCTCTGCTCCCGCTCCTGCTGGTTGAGGGTGCTGAGCAGCGTCTGGAGGCGCTCGATGTACTGGATCGCGCTGCGCAGGATCTCCACCTTGGGCAGCCGCTGGTTGGGGTTGAGCAAAGTGCTGCGTTTGAGAGCCTCGAAGGCCTCGTTCACCTTTTTTAACCGGCGCTTCTCGCGCAGCGTGGCCGCCCGGCGCCGGTCCATGGACACCGTCTTCCTCTTGCAGATCTTGCAAGCCCAGGGCAAGCACTGGCCCGGGCAGTGCTCGGGCAGGGCCGAGTCCTTCTCCTCCATGGCCACCCTGCCGTCGGCGCACAGGGCCACCTCGGGACGCTCGGGAAAAGCCGCCGGCTCATAGCCCTGCAAGCGGGAGCCCAGGAAGTTTTCGCCGTCGTAAAACCTCTGGTCCGGGAAAAAATAGGGGTTGGTCTCAAAGAGCTCCATGGGCGGCTGGGTGGCGGGGAGATGTGTGCGCGGCTCGGGGACGGCTGCTCCCTCTCCTCACGCCAACTGCTCGGTGCCATTTAAACCCCGGCGCTGGCATTAAATCACGGAGATAAATATAGAAGACCTAAAGGAAACCTGAGCCTGCCCTAAGCTGCTGCCTCACATCAAAATTTGTCCATCTGATTTCGTGGGCTCTTCCCCCCCAGGCGGGGATTACACAGTGCTGGGGGGAGCTGGCACTTTGGGAGGAGCAGCTCGGCCACCCCACGGACAAGGGCTTTGTTTGAGCCCTTGGGGTGCTGCTGGGGACGGCAGCTCCATCCCACATTCCTGTATCATCAGTTACCTGGAGCACAGCCAGGCTGGGGGGACAGCGGGGCTCAGGCAGCTTCGTCCCACCCTGGGGTGGATGGTGGCATCTGGCCTCATGGGTCCTGGCTCCTGCATCCTCAGGCAGCCTGGCCAGGAGCAGCCTATCCCACCATCCCTGCTGTATCGCGAAGCATCGTCCCTCTCGTGCCTCCCTCCTGCTCGGCCAGGCTGAGCCTTTCCCTGTGTCCCCAAGTGATCGGGGCAGGTAGGAGACCCCAAGATGCCTTGGCAGAGAGTTCGTGGCAAATCCTTCACAAAGGTTTTTTGCTGTCTCTGGCTGCGTCAGCAAAGTCCAAAGCGGGCTGAGTCCAGATCAGGAGCAGGGCTCTAGGCATAAAGTATTTTTGCTTCCAATTCTCTTCCAGGACACTAAAACCAAAGGGAACCTCTCCACTCATCCCAGGACCCCTTGTCTGGGCAAGCTTGGGAGATGAACCAAGCAGGGGTCTGGTCACCTCCCATTCTGACACTGTCCTTCCTCTGTCATCACTAAGCCAAGTGCAGGACACATCAATAGCAAAAGCCCCTGCCCAGATGCCAAGACAATCCTGCTGTTCCCCTCTTCCGGCAGTCATTCCAGCCTTGCCAATGGGGAAACCAAGGCACAACACTGGGCCCTGTATGAGAACACAAGTGTTGGGATTTTTTCTGGTTCCCAGCTCTCCCTGCTGACTCCTGTCCCCATACCATGTCTCTCCAGCTCTGTCTTAAATTCACAGGGATGTTTTTTTTTCCCCACTGGAAACAGAAGAGACCATCTCCCATCTCCTCCTATTCCCACTCCCGGCCAAATTCCAGCTGAGGGATCGGTCAGTGGAAAGAATGTCGGCAAAGAGAAGGGTGAAGTGTGACGAGATTTTCCTTCCCCAGATCCCCCTGCCCGGGGAGGCCGGGCCCTGTTGCATTCCCCGCTCCCATTCACTCGCACCCACAGTGACTTGGGTTGAATTCTGGCCATTTCAGACCTGTCACGTTAAAGGGAAGGCTCCGAGCAGGGGCTGGATGTTTGTCGGTGCCTATTGCTGCCGTGCGACATCTCATCGGCTCCTATCATTGAGTAGACCCTTCGCCACCTCCACTGAGGGCTTTCCCTTTGCCCCAAACTCACTGAGAGCCTTTCAGGCCCACAGGTTTTCAGGAGAACAGCAGTGCCCACCTCAAACCCTCCTACCTGCTCAGGCCCGTGTTTTCTTTGGGGTTCAAGAGCTTAAAATGTGACCTGCACCTGCTTTTCAGTCTCAGCACCAGGGATTTGCCATCCCATATAGAACATTGGGGTCCCCTGGGGTTTTGGCCAGAAGTAGCCAGCTCTGCATGCCCCAGGTCTGGGTGGGCATCACATCCACAAGGGGTTTCTTAGCCCCATCCTTCTACAGCTGCAAAACCTCCAGAGAACAAAAGTAACAGAAGCAGGAATGGCAATCCAGCAAAACACCTTCTTAGAGGAACCCACTTCTTGGATGAGGAAAGAAACAAAAGCCCTAGCCAGGCCCATGCATTGGATAAAGCAGTTAACATTCCCTTGGATTTGCCCTGCTCATGTGGAATTTTATTCTTGGAACTTGCTGGTGGATGCATTGGTGGAAGAAATGTTGGTGAGCTCCTCAAACTGGACACTTTGCAGGAGATGATGGAGAGGGTTTTTTTAATTGAGATGAGAGTGTGTTTGGAGGGTGAAGAAGCCAGCAGTGACATAACAGGCTCAGAGGTCTGTGGGACATGTGGCCAGCCCATACGACAACCCGGTCAAGCATTTAGCACTTCATAAAACAGGGGCAGCATCATCTGAGCAGGCGCTGGCAGTCCGGGTGGGCTTTTCCCAGCGCAGCACCAAGTGGGCACCTGACTTGAATCCTCCTTGTGACTCCTGGTGGCCAAGTCACCCAGCTCTCCTCCATCCACAGTGCCTGTCAAACCCTCTTTGCCGAGGTGGAACTGATTCCAGGATGTGGGTCAGGGATGCAGATGGATGTGGGGTCCCCGAGTGCAGCATGCGTCTGCACCCACTCACTCAAGGGTCTTCAGAGCCCGGGCTACCTGGTGGGCTCCCTGGCTAGTCAAAGCCACCCGGAGAGCCCAGGGGATCGCTGCAGCGTGGGCAGCTTTCCCTGGGTCTCCTGGCTGCCCGCGCCGGGTAATGCAGCGCCGGCTGGGGGATTAGGGCTCTGCTGCCTGCTGTCAGGTTATCCCGTGATGGATGGTGGCGGCTGGGACGCGCACAAAGGCGGCACTGTGCACGCGCTAGTGCCAACGTGTTGCCATTCGTCATGGGGTGACCTTCCCCCGGGAGAAGCTGAGGTGGGGGGGACATGAGGGCCTCGCCGCCGTGGCTTGCGTGTTCCGAGGAAAAGCAGCCACAGGCTGAAGCAGAGCCCCTGGCTAAAAATACCGGTTCATTGAGAAAAAAGACCTGTGAGGAGGTTCGTTCTTGCTTCTCCAGGACTGCTCTCCCTGTTCCGACTCTCCCTGGGCACAGACCCTTTGCATCCTGCTTTCCTGCATCTCGGTTTAGCGTGCCCCAGTCTGCTGCACGGTGCTGCATGTGCAGGCACTGTGTGGGAGGGCTGGATGGAGGCCCGTGTGTTGGGGACCAGCTGGCTCCTTGCATTGGAAAGGGCAGAAAAAGCAGCAAGTTTGAGGCGCTGGATGTGAGCCAGGTGATGGAGACACCCCAGGATCCATGGGCAGCATCCTGCTGCCGGGAGGAAAGGGGCTGGGGATGGATTTTGAGCAGGGACATGCTCAATCCTGTTCAGGAGTGGTCCCTCCACCTCCTTTCCTCCAGCTAATGCACAAGCAACAGCACTGGGATCATCCCAGCACTGGGACCATGTGAGGACCTCGCTGTCCCCCTGGGACCGCCGTGCGCCCCATGTCCCCTTTGTCTTTCCGCCTTGCTGCCCTCCCTTCCTGCCCCAGTGACAAGTTGTAACATATTTGGGAGCAGCTGCAGGCGCACGGGGATGCTTGGCCCTCTCCCTGCTCCCCGGGCGAGGAATGCGGCGCAGACCTCTCCTCGGACACTCGGGATTTCCGACGTGCCTCCTCGCCACAGATTTGGGACAGCGACAGCTGCTCGGCCGCCGTGGGGGCCCGCGCTCGGAGCCTGCCCCGCGGCCAGCCAGAGACGCAGCCTTCCCTGGCCAGGTCCCAACCTGCCGGCAATTCAGGGCTCGTTTTAGCTCCGGTTTGGGTGTAGCTGTGGGCGACTGTCTCTCCCGCTCCATCACTGCCTGGGAAACAAGCAGAGGTGGCAGGAGCAGCCAGCAGCCCATTCCTGACCTGCGACTGGGTGCCCTGGTCAAGTAATCCACTAGTTCCCAGTCTGGGGACAGTATGGTTGTCCCAACACACTGGTCTGATGGCTCCCAGTTTTGGGACTATCCTGGGTGCCCTGACATACCAGTCCACTGGCTCCCAGTGCAAACATCACACTGGGTGCCCCCACAACCCATCCGTCCACTGGCTTCCAGCCCAGGGACCACACTGATTGTCCCAAGCCACCAGCTCCCAGTCCAGATGCCATCCTGGATGCCACAGCAAACCAGGTTTCTGGCCTTCTTGTGGGTCCTCCCTCAAGAGCAGCACTTAACCTCCGGTGCTTCTGCCATGCCGTGGCCACCTTTGCTTCATGGACCCATGTGCTGCATAAGGTCACTCCTGTATCCAGCCCAGCAGTCCCAAAGTGCAGCTGGATCCGGGCTCTGCACAACAGGGCCCCACCAGCAGACCCCACTCCGACATGGCATGAGCGTGCCAAGCCCGTGGGCTCTCCTACGAGTTCAATTGTGCTGGGATGTCCTCAGCACGCAGGAGGCTGCAGCTCTATCCTGCACATGGAACTGTCCCCATCTGTGTCGTGTGGGTCCGGGGAGCACCGGGTTGTCAACAAGGGGCTGTTTTCCTGGGGTGGGAGAGCCTGGCTCGGTGAACTGGAGAACAGGTGGGTATTTGAAGGAAGACCCATGAATGCGAGGGATTCATGAGCGACATATGGTGGCTATTCGACTCCACGAGAGGGACAGCTGCCTGGGCCAGGCAATGGCGCAAGGCCCAGGGACAGGAGCTGGGGACATCAGCGTCCCCCAGCAGGGGACAGGGGGTGCACAGCCCCAAGGGGGACTGCAAGGACCCCCAGGAGATGGTACTGGAGGAATCCAGAAGGGAACCAATGTGCTGGTCCAGAGCCAAAAACAATCAGGCAGCTCCAGGCCAAGTCTCATGGATGTCTGCCCATGGGGTCATAACTCGCTACATCCTGGGCACTTTCCAGCTGTGGGGCTCATGAGAGCCTGGTGACCTGACCAGAACCTGAATGCTAATGCTCTGGGATCAGGACCTGAGGAACAGGTGGAATCATTTTGCACTTTCAAGGGATTAGCCAGTTCTCCTGCCTTTTTTCTTCTCCGAAAGCAGACATCAGTCCCAGGATGGGTGACCCTCAGGTAGGGCATGCAGATTCCCATGGGGATTTCCTGGCTTGGGTGGGGAGAGGGGACTGCAGAGCCTCCCTGGGAAGTGCCAGCCGTGATGCCAGACAAGCCAGTCCCTGCGGATGGGACCCAGCCCTTCCGGAGAAGCCTCACCCTGCGCATTCCCATGCCTGGAAAGAGGCTGCAGCTGGT